AAGAAAATGGAAACTACTATTTAGGGTTTAGGGTTTAGGGGTTGTATTGGGATAATGGAAAATAAAATGGAAACTACTATAATGGAGAATCAAATGGAAAAGAACATGGAAAATGAAATGGAGTATATTGGGGTTATATAGCAAACAGCTGAAGCAACCGAGGTTGAGGCCAGTTCAGTGTTGTTCAGAAGCTTCAGGTTCAAGTAGGATGCTCCCTAGAATCCCCTATATAATCCTAGGTTCCATTTCATTTTCCATTTTCTTTTCCATTTGATTCTCCATTATCCCAATATACTGGGTGGGGGGTCCACCTAAGGTTTAGGTCACGTCTCTTTCGCTGTCAGGCTCCAACTCGCCTTTCCGATTCAGTCTGCGGAGTTTACCTTGACACGCATGCGGCCACAGGACTGTTTAGGGCCCAAATACCATAATATTAATCGTAGTTGGGCCCTAAAACCCTATTATTTGGGTTACATGGGTCATACAGGTCGGGATCTTGCGCCGTGAGAACTTCTGCGGAGCAAGTGAAGCCCTGGCCCTGACAGGCCTTGTCAACCTAACAACTATTATTTAGATGTTCTGCGAATGCATTCCGTCTCTTCCCTACCCGTTGAAAAGAAATGGGAAGAATGTTCACGTTTGAGGGCCACAGATCAAGCATCGAATGGCATCCACCTACAGTACCAATATTCAAGCCCGAACATGTCCACAGAGAAATGATACACCCGCGTAGGTTTGCGGCCCAAGGTGAGGTTTCCATTCGACTAATGCCAGACATTTTCTAAGCCCTAGACCACAAAACCCGGCACCCTACTCCAAACAATAAACCTTACAGACCTGAACCCCACATCCCGAAGCCAACAACCACCCAAAAAGGATGCCGCAACGACGCTGTGGGCAGCTGCTGTGCTCCGCTGTGGGAGGGTCTTTGCAAGGCAACTTCCGGTGCAGAAAAGCAGCCCGACCCATTTTAGAGTCATTTATGGGGGCTTTGTGGTTTTGAGTGGTTTAGGCTTCAGAGGTTGACGATTTAGAGTCAATTGTTGCAGGTTTATAAGGCTTAAGGCGATTGTTGGTAGATAGTAGTGCGTTCCAATTGCTTCCTGCTTTGCCTGTGGAAGCTTCAACTTCCCATTCCTAGGAGGGTTGTCCGCATGCCCCGCGCCAGCAGCTAACTTGGTGCCGTTGAGCATGAGCCTTGACAGTTTTGAAACATGATTTGCCACCAACTGCAGTACTAAACCCTCAAGCCCTAACCCCAAAACCCTAAAACTCAGACGGAAAAGAGCGTGCCAAAAACAAATACGAACATTCTTATTATCTTTGTCATTGGACGTGACTAGTCGAGGCATGCACTGGTGCTGCCGGAGCATTGCCACTGCTTTGTGGGCTTATGCTTCGCTGCTGCATCAAAACGTACTGAGGGTTAGTAGGGAACCCAGTAGGGAAGAAGGGAATATACAATGTATGGGCTGTATAGCTCCCACATTCCTAGTTTCTAACCACCAATAAGAAAAGTTAGGGGAGCAGTCGTTGCTACTGGCACCGGCAGACAATGTAAACCCTCGTCGAGGGTGTCTGGCTTGGCTCGTAGCCCTGCTGCCTCTGCTTTTGAAGCATCCTAACTCCATTGTGGAGTACCGGAAAAGGGCAGGCATGTAACATTATGCAACCACGACACTGAACCTCCATAAAGAAACAAATGCTATCTAATCAAACCGCCATGCCTGCGGCATCATAGATTGTGAAGGTCGTGTTTGATGTTGGGAGGTGGCAGCTGCATGGTCTGGCCCACTGCCAAGAGCTCCCAAAATTAGGGACTCGACTCCTGATCGTTGTAAAGCCTCCTACAGGCAGTTGTTCAGAATGCTTCCTTGAGTATCTCAATGTGGCCGCCTTCCGAAACTGTTTGCAAGTCGTTGCATGTCAGCGGATTCTAAACACAACACACATCTGCGGTGTGCCTCACGTCAACGATTTGAGTGAGGAGTCAGGAATATCATACTGTAGGATCTGGAGCCCGGACGGTTGCGCTGGTGTACCCATGGCAGTCCGCTCAAGGCTTCGGTACGCATTTCACCGTCACGGGCAACATTTTCTGCGCGACTCAGCTTAACCAACTCATGGAGTCCTCTCGATGCAATGTTGGGTCTGCATCATGGGTTGAGGCATCGCCCCCACAAGAGGATGGCGTCAACCTGACTGTCCAACTCAAAAGTGCATAGCCGAGACAACGGATGGTATCCGGTCCCACAATCGAATTTCAAGTGGGGGCTGGGGTTTCAAGAGCATGTTGTTGGCGAGCGTGAGTAGCCTGAATACACGAACATATAAACCTATGAAAAGCAAATACTTGCAGCTGATGATGTACGTCTCCCTGCATGCATCAACAATTTATGTAGAAGCTGCTGAATTCCGCAAGGCCGAAAGAATGTCAGAATGTTGAGAGTCGGGTTTGGTGGCATGCGACACTGACCTATTTTGATATTTAATGTACTCCGTGCAATGTATACTCCGTATGCATACTCCGTAGTGACGTGTAGCCCAACTTTAGGCAGGCACGTCTTATCTACTCATCGTCTGTTGTGTTTTTCTGTTCTTGCATTACTTACCAGCCATCAGCAAGTAAAGACATGATTACCGATTTCTTTTGTTCAGAGAGGCCACCAAGCTCTGTTTGCTGTTTGAGGGCATGTTCTTGCTGACAGTACCCCGTGTTCCGCTGGTTCTTGCTGACAGTAACCCGTGTTGTGTTGCATTCCATCGGTTTGATGGACGTGATCTCTTCTGGCTTGTGTTCTCTAGGCACCCCCAAAGTCGCCCAATCATGAGGAAAGATTGTGACAACGCCACCGTTTTGAATTGGATCCTGGAAGCAGGGTCTGCTACAGTTGTCCCAGCAGCGCGGCGCAATGTGCGGGTTGATTCTGCGTGAGAAGCATGCTTCACTTTGAGGTGGCAGTGAGGTGGCAGTCAGCCGTCAGACATTGAAATATTTGTGGCGTTTCCTGCATATATAGTGTTTTGTGTAGCATATCATGTAGTGTTTTTGTGTAATGGCCGGATCGATGCGTTGCCGACACTGAGGTCCAATATCATGGCGCGAAATCTGTCCAATACTGAAACTAGAAGTCATCAAACAAGAGCTAGAGCGCAAGCAGCACACAAATGTCCATGTAATGTAGCGATTGTAACAGGTCCATTGCAGGGATTTTTCGCTTCCCTCCGAGCTCTGAAGCCAAAGAAGAAACGCCCGTAAGCCAGGATGCCTGTAAAACGGGTATTATCTAGGGGTATAATACAGGGATAATGGAAAAAACATGAAAACTACTGTAGTATATTGGGGTTATGTAGGGGTAATATATATATATATATCTACACGTGTAGACATATAGGGACTATGTCATAGGGTCATATAGGGAAAATGGAACAGAAAATGGAAACTACTACATTATAACAGGGCATGATCTCGAGCGGCACCTTGACCCCCAAAATGATGAAAGTATATTACAATACTACGAGAACCCCGAAAGAGCTGATGTGTTGAGAACCTTTTCCAACTTAACCGCATCATGCCATAGGCTCAGCGATGCCTTCGACAGAAAGGGATCCACAGCTGGCCCGCAGGCATGTCTGCAATCTGAACTTCCTTCCAGGGGCCCGGAGGTTTCTAAGTGTAGGGGCAAGGGTTCTGCAGGAGTCTAGCGTTTGCAGCGCCTAAAATTAAGACCCGCCGCATGCGGGCGTAGAGAACCTATGTATGCAGGGATACAACTGCAAGAGCGAAAGATCAACACTCTACGCAGCTGGGACGCTATGAGGGCTCATACACTTCATGTCCTTCGGCTGCGATTAATTGTGCACGTCATTCTCCATGCAGCATCTACGTTGAGTCCAGGTCGAGGTGCATCGCAGCCATGCAACCCCAGGATCCCTTGCAAGACCATGCTTCCTCCATGATTGTAATCATGTTCTGATCTTCTTCTCGGCCAAGCTCACGGTTGTAGAAGTTTCTTGCAGTTGCAGCAGTAAACAGGTTTCCTGCGTGTTTCTTGTGGTAGCGGCTTGAGGGTTACTGTGAAGGCTGCTCGCGATTTGGACTCTGCCAGGATGATGGCTCCGCAAAACTTCAGGTGTAGAAGGGAGTAGCTAAAAGCCGGAGCAGCAAGACCCCTGGGGCGAGTCATCAAGACACGGTTCTTTAGAAGTGAAAATCAACTGCCCCACTATAGGACTTCCATCCGTGAGTCTGCTGCTCTAGCTGGAGCTAGCAGCGCCAATTCCTGCTATTCCACACAATGGCGCAGACATTTCAGCAGACCGACTTGGTCGATGTCAAGTCTCTGAAGCCAGAAGGGGATGTGGGCAGCGAACAGGAGCTGTCTCCATCCTGGGATGGCCCAGGACGCACAGCATCAAAGACAAAGGCCGTGGCGAACAGCCCTCGCATGCCCTCAAAGCGACGTGGTACAAGGGCGGCATCAAAGCTACGCAGTCAGTTCCCAGATCTTCCGCTCCGGCATGGGGAGTTCCACTCACTTTTGGAAAAGCTTGTGCAGGCGCATGTGCAAGAGGTTGAAGCTGCCAGGGTCGTTGGTAGTGATGTGGGCACCTCGTCACATCCAATCGGCCACTCCTTCTCCCAGGAGACCACGAATATGGAACCCACACAGCTGTCACCGTCCATGGCCGCTCTTCTGAATCTTCGAAAAGGGCGTGGTTCGGAGCATTCAGCTGGCTCTGTGACCGCAGACAGGATTCTGAAAGCATGGGATGAAGAGGATCTCACATCAAATGAGTTTTCCGGTAACGGCGGCGTTGTAGAACCCGAAAGCCCTCCATCCGAACGTACTACAATGGCAGGATTGCTCAGAAAGTGTTTTTTATCCGCAAGGTTTGAGGTGCTGATGTCATGTCTTGTTCTCACGAACACTGTTTGGATGGCAGCTCAGCTACAAGTGGAAGGGGGCATTTACGGGGCTGCCTGGAGGGGTGAGACAGACTTATCTTCGCTGAGTACCTGGCGATCCATTTTCATGACCGGCGAACAGTGTTTTGCAGCAATCTTCGTGCTAGAAGTATGGCTTCGGGTTCTCGTGCTTCGGCGCGCCTTCTTCATGGTCTGGCTAAACTACATCGACTTTTTTGTGGGCATCGCGTGCATGGCCGAGCTGATCGTGGTAATGAGAGACGGAGGTACCAGCAGCCTGGACACCCTCTTCTTGCTACGCCTGCTTCGTGTCGGCAAACTGGCCCGTGGCTTAAAGCTCGTGGGTCTCACAAGCAACCTTTCCTCGTTGCAGCTTCTGGTGCCTGGGATTTTGCTGGGTAGGCCAGTTGAATTGCCCCAGACCTAGTAATTAGCAGAAGATTTCCGTTTCTGAAATTATGGGCAAGTCATCTGAGGTCAAGTGCCTGGTGTCCAGCCGCGCGATGTTGTTTTGGACATTTTGCTTGCTGGCCTTGCTGCAAGCAGTGGCGGGAATCATCCTCAACATGTTCGCGCATCAGTACTTCCAGGAGGCTATGCACGATCTTAGTAAACGTGAGGCCGTGTATCTCTACTTCGGCACCTTCACACGCAGCTTCCTCAGTATGTTTGAAATCATGCTCCTGGATTGCGCTTCGGTAAGCTTGTTTTTGCGTGTTGCGAGATGCTCTTGCAGCTCAGTATAGAAGATGGCCTGGTTCTCATCTGGTATGCGTCTTCATAGGGCTTCAAGCGCATCCCAGGTTCGCAAACTGGGGCCCACCATGTCGAGTACTTGTGGAACACATCAGCGAGTGGTTTGCCGTGTTCTTCCTGCTCTATCGTTGTGTTTTTGGATTTGCGCTTTTAAATGTGGTGAACTCGGTGTTTGTGTGCCTAGTTCCGCCAGCAGCAGGACTTTCATTTTGTCTGGCTTAGGCACCCTTTACTCACCTCACTAGCACGGAATCCCAAATAGGGCCCGAGTAAAAGAACAGTAGTCTTTGTAGGGCTGCTTCTGGGGTTCCATATTAGTTTTGGGGATGGTGATCTGTGTGACCCCTGAGGCAACAGACCATGAAAACGGCCAGCTCCGATGAAGAGCTGGCTTTCAAGCAGAAGGAGAAGGACACGGGGCCAATGCTCTGCCACTTTTGTTATCCTTTGTGCTTTCCAGCATAGTATGGAACAGGGACGGGCGTGTTTGATTCCCGTCACGACCCGTACCAAGAATGCTCGCGAATCTGCATAATCTACTTGCAATCCTTGCATCCGCCCTCCAAAATTTCAGCAGTCGCACAGGACAGGGTGGTCTACAACAGGAGCCTTGGATCTCAAAATAGAGACCGCAAGGCTACTACCTTGGATGAAGTCTTGCTTTTCCGAATGAAGCAATGGATCCCTGGTACAATCCCGGTATGCCTCCACCGTGATCCTGAAAATCTAACAATTGCACGGACCGACTCATGCACTTCCTACGACATGAAGCAAGGAATCGGCACAGACGCAAAGCTGGTAGACATTGTCAGAACCGAATTCCTAAATTAGGATAAGACATGTCTTAGCAGATTTTCTTCCCTGGTGCCGCATCTCACATTGAGCAAGATCATGATCAAGGGTTTGATTGACGGGAAGGGGGGGTTACACATAAAGCAAACAAGGATCAACAAACAAAACAAATAAAGATTAAGAAAGAAACTAGGGATCAATAACAACAAAATACTGGATTTTGCAGTAAAACTCAATAGTTGTTCGGTTATTTGGTTTACACGTCACTTTGGCCCACGTATTCAATGCTAGTCGCGACTGAGTAGACTGAGTAGTTTGATATGCGTGGTTTTCAGCTACCAATCCAGCCTCTTTGGTTCCGATCCAAACATTTGCCACTGGTGCTTGCCTTGCTTCCTGTCGTCGAGCAAGACCAGCTTACTGTTCCTCAGGGAGAGTGGGGAGTGGATACGCCCCAAAGATCCCTTCAAGGACGCAAACGTTTCTGAAAAAAACTGGAAGCGGCTAGATCCTCTTGATGATTCATTGCAGTGCAATATCATCCGATGACGGTGTACCGCAGGACAAGTGACTGAATGAATTGGGGTGATTCAAAACCATGTTCAGACAACTGTTTAGAAAAGGACCCTTACAAGCATATTCCAGTCCAAGTGATCAACATGATCCCATGAGGGTACCTCCGTTTAGAGAACCCCCAAATCCCAGCGTCAAACAAGGAAGGTGAAGAAGCTTTTCCAGAACATAGATGCTTCCATGCCACTGTTGAGCAACATTTTGCATTTTTTGAACATGAAAGTTGATTGTTGCTTTTGCTCCAACCCAACAATGACCCAGATCTCGGGAGACGGCGCTATCAACCTGGAGGAGGGAGGGCGTGTTTGGAAGGATTTGTAGTTTTGATTGCAGTGGGCCCAGGGTTGTCGCATGCATGTGGAAGGTATGCAGGGCTTACATTGAATTCATTGACCAAGTTTGGAACCATGGGCCCCTGGTAGTGGCTGGTAACTTATGGCTACGCAAGTCTTTGGAAGTACAACTTGGCATGAGGGCGTTACGAGCCCAATCCACAAAGAGCTTTCCTAAAAGACAGTTGCGAGTGTTTCCAACACATTTTGTTCATTATCTGCAGTGCCTCGCATCTTTCCCAGAGGCCAGGATAATGGACATAACATACGTCTGGTTGCACTACCAATACATGCCTGTCAAAGTCACATTTGTTTTGTCATACACAAGCCGCACTTAAAACCACATACCGAGCAGAGTCAGTCAATGATGGCAAGGAGGCCCAAAATCATAGCAACCATTCTCATGTTCTTGATGCATAAACAGAGTGGCGCCAAGCTCAAGAGGAGTTCACAAAACTCGTGCAATCACCAAAGCTGAAGCTGGGCTCGCAGATGGTTCTGGCAATTTTCCATGATGGTGTGAGAAGAAGATGGTTCAAAATGTTTGTCGTTTGGCGTAAGGACACATACACAGGCGGTTGCAAAGTACATGTGGCCATTTCTCGTTGGGATGTGGGAAGTTCAAGGCTGAGCTGTCCCGCTCCGATCATCATAGACGTAATGCTTCGTTCTGGGGCTTGCATCATTGCCTTCCTAATTGTCCCCGTGCTTCCTACTCTCATTCTTTCGCTCGGGCAATCAGAATTGGTTGGACGTTTGTTTGCCCATTTTGTTGCGAAGATAGTCTCATTCACATCTTTCATTTAGCATGGCCATTTTGTCGTACCTGCGCACCTGTCGGCCAGAGTCGAGGCAGAATACCATCATCACTGCACGATTACCAGCGAAGATACTCATAACTTGGAGCATGGTTTCTGCAGCATGTCTTGGTTGTTGTGAAGCTACAAGTGCGAGTGCTAAGAGCTGCAGGTGCTAGGAATCCTCTTGTCCTGTGGTCTGAGGACAAATCCTGTCTGCAGTACTATAACGTTGTCTATTGTGCTCGATGCACCTAATTGATTCCATCATCCTGGCTTAGGAAGTTCTGGATGAGCCAGCTTGAGTTGGAATACCACGACTTGCTCAGCCTCTTCGAGTCACTCGGAGGATTTTTTTGAACCAGCGTAGCTTTGGATGGGCCAAGCCCATAGCCGTAACAAAAAATCTGTGGTCAAACAGAGTCATGCAGACCTCGTGCGAGGAGCTGTCCATTTTCTTCTGCCGCAAGTCTGTAGCCACAGTCTAGAATCTAGAGTCCTCACCGGCACCAGGCGCAACACGCTGTCCTTTATCCGTGGGTGGTGGGATTGCTGAGTCGCATTGCTTCTGGAGGGGTTGTGATCAGCTTGACACAATTTCGGCAAGGATTTAACTGCATAAGGAATCTTGAACTCGACATGTGCCGAAGTGAGTGCTAGTTGTTGTATGAGTCCCGCCTCGGATTTTGTTGAATTGCAGCTCCACTTGCTCCCCCCATTTCGCTGACATTGCTTTGCACCTGATAGGTTAAGCAACCGCAGCCAGCAACTGCTGGTACGAAGTCCGAAGATATGTTGAATCTGTAGCAGCTTTTACAGCACGACACAGCGGCCCGTCAAATTCCCAATCGAAGGATTTTAAGACATCGCCCGCAGTGCGCCTTATCCGTTGTTGATGTCGTATATGGAGAGGCCGTAGTTTTGAGAGCGCCCGGATCCCCTTTTCAGCACAGTCGTCGGAGGTTCCTGGACAACGGCGATGGTGAGATTACTCTGTCTGAAGCCTGGCTTGCCTTCAATCATCTTTCCGCCGCTATCAGGGGCCTTGGGTGTACCGAGCATCTGGACTACTTACCAATAAGCATGAGTAGTGGGTTGCTGTGGTGATTTGTGTGATCCGGGCTCCCAGCACGAGTTTCCAAGGTAGGATTTTTCAAGTCGCCCTTGATTCGGACATCTGCATGTGTGCCTCTTGGACGTCCTGAACCAGCCTAGGAGTTCATTGAAGGAGCTGCTCGCCTGCGCGGCAATGCCAAGGTCTGCCAGTCCATGTCGGCATGAAGGGCTGGAAGTCATAGCGTGAGCAAGGCAATGATTCGCCAGATTCAGCAGGACTAAGCCTTTTATACAGTTCGCCATGAAATGAAATGGGTCTTGTCAAGAAGCCATGCTTGTCAGCATGTGAGCAGCATAGAACCCTGAAAGCTGGAGCGTACTTCCCAAGATCGGCTTCCATAATTGCCTGCAATCATCAGCTCAGCCTGAAAAACATCTGCATCGTTCCTGAACCGTATAAAGAGTTGTATCAGCCCCATGGCTTGGATGGTGCAGCTTGTTATGGGGTCAAAATAGCGGCGGCTTTGGCAGCGGCAGCAGTAGTCGCAGTCGTCGTTGTTGCCAACGAGTAGGAGTAGGAGTTGGATGAGCAGCATCAACATTTCGCAGCATGCAACCGCGGAGGCACCACATATTCTACTTTCCCTAGCCACTCTTGGTGCCAGACCATCTCGAATTTCACTATCGATCATTTGGATGTTGCGCGGATGAATGATGAATGCTGGTGACCCATCGTCCTTGCAATCTGTGATTGATTACAGCAGCAGGCCTAGCCTAGAAGCTTCATTATGGGAGGTATATGGGCTCAGATAGGCTGCTTGCCCGAATGGCTGGTTAGCCTGGAATTTCTAACCCTTGTAGTGCCCAGCGTCTAGCGTGTATATTCATCGTCCCATACCCTCTGCTTGGATGATGACCTCTGCAGATGGAGAGGCATTGGACATTTGGCGCATGGAGACAAAGCTAGAAGTTCTCTTCGACTACACCCTCGAAATGCTGTCGGAAGCTTGACTCTTTCAATAGCTGCTTCAGGACTTGTGAATTACCATAACCCAGATGGGCACGACTTGAAAATTTGGGATCTTCACCCTTAGAGCTTACCACGGCGTGCATTGGAACAAGCTCGGCTTAAGTTTTAATATGCTAACTACACCCCACGTCTCAACTGCTTCGAGTTGCTGCTCTAATTTTTCCCAGGCCAGATGATTGACTTTGATGTGCTTCAGGCTGACACTCCTGCGACGTCACAGGATAGCATTTCCTTCCAATTGCGGCAGCCTTGTCTTGATAACGTGAGCTAGCAGCTATAGCTGTCCAGGAAACTGTCGCGCTCAACGTCCCGCCAGCCAGCCCGATCAGCGAAAAGTGTCCTGATAGTCCGGGAGGAATCGAGCGGGAGAAGGCGAAGAGTGTGTGCCTCGACTTATGGCGCATGCGCTGGGCTATTGTCGAACTAGGAGCCTCTACTTCCGACTGCAAGAGTATTGCAGGATGTCTTCCTAGACCCTCCTCCTATCCTCTATTAGGGCCTCAGTACCTACTATCAGGGACCATATATCCCCACTTAAGGGTACAAGGAGGGTCCTGGATCTTATTGCAGCTTGATCTCAGTGCTCAGGCAAGACGTTTTGGAGAACTCCAACTACAAGCATTTGCGAGCAGCCACGTCCATGATGAACAGCCGCAACTTTGGTTCACCACCGGACTCTCCGACGTCAGAGTCCAGTTGATTCTGCAGTCTAAACTCCTTAATGGGGGTTATATAGGGGATAATATAGGGGACTACTATAGGGGTTATTAAGGGGGATACTAGGAGTTTAGACAGTGGCTAAGTTGATAATGTAGATTTGAAGTCTGTCGCTCCTGGCATTTTCGCACTTGGAGAGAATCTTCTCCGTGAACGCACGTTGTGAAG